AAATCGAGAATTCTTATAGAAACTGTAAAAATAACATTTTCCATTAAACAATATTTTTTTCTGCCAAAACTATAAACCCATATTTTTTAACAAAATCAAAAATTAGTAATATCATGTTGTTGTAACAAAATCAGAAATTCTCGTAGAAACTGTAAAAATAGCATTTTCTATCAAATCGTATTTTCATTCCAAAATTGTAAACCCACACTTTTTAACAAAACCAAAATTTATGTTTTTTCCCAACACCATAAAACCGTATTCTATGGCTAATTTCTAAAATTACATGTTTTTGTCAAACCTGCAAAATTACGTTTCTCATCAAACCCGCAAACCTGCATTTTCAATAAAATCTATAAAACCACATTTTTCATCAAAACTTATAAACCCCGCCAAAACATGTAAACTTCGTAAAATCTGCAAAATCACGTTTCTGGCCAAATCCACAAACCCATATTTTCCAAAAATTTGTAAAATCCTTAAAATCATGTTTTACGATCAAATTTCTAAATTCATGTGTTTCTGCTAAACCTGCAAAATCGAGTTTCCAAACCCACAAACCCGTATTTTTCCGTATGACTATATTTTCCCGTTAAAACCCATAAAATCCACAAAATTGTGTTATTCGCATTCTGTAAACCCGTGTTTTCCTGTAAACCCCATAAAATTTGTAAAACCAAATTTCTAAAATCATGTGTTTCTGCTAAATCTACATAAACACATTTCTTATTAAACTGGCATTTTTCGTAAAAGTATATTTTCCGTTAAAACTTATAAAACCCGCTAAAACTTGTAAAACCCGTAAAATCTACAAATTTGTGTTTGTTAAATTTGCAAACCCATGATTTCTGACAAAAAAAATCATTAACAAACCATGAAAAAATTATTTACATAATATTTCTTTTCGTAATATGTATATATATAACCAAAAAATAATGATTACATATTCATCATTGACTACAAATTGTTACATTTAATAAATATCATATTAGCTTTTAAACATTTTAAAGTAGTATTTTTTTTCAATTGTATAGTGAAACAATTAATTATAATATAATATATATTAATTTATAATATAATATATAATTATATTAATTATTCATGCCATATATATTTGTGGTAATTATGTTAAGATATTATGAAAGATTTTGCAATAATTTCGAAATTAAATTAATTTGAATTTTATTAAATATCAGATATAATTTATTGATATTATCTGTTAACAAACTAATATAATTTAATTTAATTTAATGTATTTTTAGTGGTTTAATAATATGACTAAATTATTCTTAATGAATTAATGAAATTGTCTAGTAAATATAATGTCATATATTATAAATATCATGGTAGCTTTTGAATATTTATTAAGAATGGTTCTGTTTTAATAGTATAGATGCTACATTGGAGATGTTTTAGTGATTTTTGTTTTTTTTTTAATTCTTTACTTTTTAATAATTATATTAGATATGAAGTTTTTGGGTTATCTTCTAATTTTTTTAGATTATATTAATATATATATACAATTTACTATCCTGATCTTATTCTTAATGTAGGGTTATGTGACTGTGCCTTTAAGCATCGATTTCTTTTATTCTCTCGTTCTCTCTGCCATCATCTTTCAGCGCTCCAATCATTCAACCTTCTCTTGTCAAGCCCACTGCAATCAACCTTTATTTCTGTAACTGTAAAAGCAGAGCATCTTCATGTTGGTACTGCTCACAAGCGTACGGGATTCACAGCTCACACAATCCAATTCCCTAACAAATTTGATGTCCTTTGTTCTCTAGCTACGACGGAAGTGTGACGTGTGAGTGTGAGTGTGACGTGTGAGTGTGCTTTGTCTTCTTTTGAGCCTAAGGCTATTTATACTCTTCATTGTAATCTTAGCTTTTTATTAAGCTGAAATAGTCAGGAGATGCGATTGTCTCACGCTTTGAAGAAAAATCGGGTCACTTCGAAAGCATCGAAGGAAGTTTATGTGTGAATCTGATTCAAGACCGTGTAAGATGCAGTAAAGTCACTATCAATGAACTATGATGAGCATAAGATTCTGCGAGGTCTGGTGGGGAAGTTCGCTGACTCTTTAATGTTCAACGATCTTAAAGTTGATATGACTTTGTGCGGTGAGGCAGCAACCAAAAATCTCTCTTCCTCCATTGTAATAACTAGATATTTACCTGCTCTATACTGTAGGATATTTTTCTAAATTTTGTATATATTTTTAATATAATAAAATTATTTTTTTTAATGTAAATAAAAGTATTATATTTATTTTTTATTAGCTAAAGTTATATATTTATATGTTTTAAATCTGAATAAATATTATATATATATATATATATTTTTCAAAATTATAATTTGCTATTAAATTTAGTTAGCTAACTAATTAAAAATATATATATAGAAATAAAATATATAAGAATAAAGCAATACATTTTTAGTACATTTATGTTAATGGCAAATGTAATCTATTTTCTCCAATAAATTACCACATAGTCCTCCTTTGTAATTATATAAAACAAAATACCATTTAAAAAAAAGATTTATTAATTAATATGATTATTTTGAATTATAAATTTATTTATTTATCAAATATTTTATTATAAACATATGTTTCTAAAAACTACCAAACTATAATCAATAACATTCATATCAAAACCATTGCAATTGTTTTAGAACTAAATAGAAAATTACGTTTGAACTCTTAAAATATCGTTTTAATTAAAGTTAAATAATTAAATTTTGGTTACTGTAAACATACTTTAACTTGGAAATTTAGCATTGAGAAATTTTTTTTTCTTACAAAAATTGAAAAATCGTATTTCTCGTGAAAAGAAAAAAAAATTTATTTTTCCATTAAACTGAGAAATCGGCTGTTCCCGCCAAAACCAAAAAAATTCATTTTCTCGTCAAACCTAAAACCTAAACTTACATTTTCCCGCGAGAACCTGCGTTTTTCCACCAAAGCCGAGAAATTACGTTTTTTCATAAAAAACCAAAAAATTTCACCTTTCTGCAAAAATCAAAAAAAAAAATTGTATTTTCTGCCAAGATCGAAAATTTTATTTTTCCTGCGAAAACTGAGAAATCGTCTATTTCTGCCAAAATAAAAAAAATCATTTTTTCGTCAAGCGCAGAATCATGCTTTCCTACAAAAACAAATAAACTATAATTTTTTGCGAAAACCAAAAATTGCATTATCTCCCGTGAAATTATATTTTTCCGCGAAAACTAAGAAATTGTTATGTTTTTTATCGGTTCAAATTTTTGCTGATGTGTGAGCTTCTTATAACATAAGGCTTTTTGCGTTGTTGTCATGAAAGCATAGTTGATGCTGAGCCTACATTTTTTCAATCATATACGTCTATGTCAAACAAATAGATAACTAGAATTTTTTTATTATTTATTTGTTGTTGTTTATTATTTGCATTTGGTTTTGGTAAAAAAAAGAAACAACGATTTAATTTTTTTATTTGTTTTTATTTATTATTTGGGTTTGGATTTGGTAAAAATTAAAATAATAATTTTTTTATTTGCTGTTATTAATTATTTGGGCTTGGGTTTGGTAAAAAATGAAACAAAAATTAATAGAAAAATTTATTTAGGTTTTTAATGGGGTTAAATTTAAAAATTAAAATAAGTACATGAGATGTATTAATAAAATGTTTTGATTGGTGATTATTTTTGTTGAGGTGTCATGTGTATAAAGCTTAAAAAATATGAGGTGTCAAGCCATGGAGAGACTTTAGTGTTATTGTTATGTTGATTTTATGATTTTTTTTTCTAACAAGTTACCATTCCTTTTTTTTTTTTATCAAACCACTCCTTTTTCAAATTGGCAAATATGAAAGGCCAATAATTCATTATTTCACCAAGATTTTAATTTCAACCATGTAGAATACAATGACACGTGTTAGATTTTGTTTTAGCCAAAGGTTTAATGATTTATTCCAACTGATAAACAAAAAATTCCAAAATTTCAAAAAGAAACTTCAATAATATTAAATATATATGCTTCTTTTCTGTAACAAATAATTTCACATGTTATACAAAATTTGGCCTTCCATTTTATTTTTGTTTTTACTGCCAATCCCAACTCAATAACTAGTTCGAAAACATAAATTTTATATATTTTAGTTGTGAAAAATACATTTTAAAGTATATTTTAAAGTACAACCTTATAGTTACAAGGAAATTATAAAGAACACCACTTAAATTAAACATAGTTTAAAATATATATTTCTTAATTTTAAATAGAAATGTAACTTTTTATATGTGAACAAACTTTTTCCAAAAACTAATTTTCAAACTCTTTCGCCTTTTTAATAAACAAATAAATCAAATTAAATTTTAGCTTAACCTGAAAATTATTAATTAACATTTGTTAATTTATAATCTAGAAATGAAAACAAATGTGAGAACAGAGGAATTATACGAATCCAAAATAAGTAACAGTGAAAAGGAATTATTCCAAGCCTCGTCTAATTCAAAATTTCATACACATAAAGCTTAACGACATTCCTTATAAAAATCGGCCCGAGCATAGATTTGATGTATTGTCAGGATCATTATCTCCTTCTCCTTGATCAGCTACAATTAGTTTTTATCAACCTGAACCATGCATGAATCCGTTCACAGTGATCGATCCTTGCTCTATTGGTCATTCGTAGAAGAAAGCGACTAGTTATCGTCGTAGTTATTGGAAGTTTATTACTACAGACTACAAATATTCATATGATCCCAACATGGTTGGATATTTAGACGTAGCTATTACTAAAGCATGCATAAGAAATTAAGCACCATATATTTGAAATTACAGTATATGGAAATAAACTAGAAGATAATAATTTTAATATCAAAAAATATATATTCTAAATATGTTTCTCCATAGTGCAATGCATTATACGCGTACAGCTCCTATAAATACTTTCGCACCATGCACCAAATCGTAACCATTTTTTTTCGTTTTTTTTTCACAATCACCAAACAAAAATGAGCAAATCATTTTTCAATACTTGTGTTGTTTCAATTACTATTCTCTTCTTGGTTTACAACGTCAAAACAGTGCGTAGTATCATATGCCCTGATGTGACAGCCACCTTGATGTCGTGTTTATCATACATTACCGGTCCAGAACAAGATTCTCAGCCAAAACCAGATTGTTGCAAAAGTTTGGAAACAATTTACCGTATAGTTCCGACGACACAAGATCGTCGGATTTTCTGCGTATGTCTTGAAACGTATGTACAAACGATTAAAGCAGATATCAATAAACTTATCGGTTTACCTATGGTTTGTGGCATTAATGTATTTCCAGTTTCCTTTGACCCGAGGAATGATTGTGGCAGGTAAATGTTAATATTAAACATAAAAGTATTGATTTCCAAATTTTATCTAAACTAAAGTATCTAAGCTCTTTACTATAGATTTTTTTAAAAAAAAATTTAGTATATATTTCTCTAAATATCTTTCTCAATAATTTCATGCAGTGTTAAAGTCTAAGGAAGACGATTGGAGTACAGTATAGAGGTTTTGAAGACATTTGATGGATTTTTATAATCTTAGAATTATAAGATACAACTTCAGTTCTTCGTTTTTGTATTTTAATAATTTTAAAAATCAAACATTGATTATCATACAAGTATATCAATAGACGATCGACAAAAAACAACTTGTTATATAGCCGGAAAGATCATCTCTGCAACTAACCATGTCCTTTATTGTGAGAGAAACCAAGACACGATTTCGTTTTCATGCTACGTTCACTGTCAAAAACCAAAAAAAAACACGAAGATAATGTTTTTGGTTATGTCGAAACAAGAGAAAGTTATGGATGTTTTAGCACAAACATTTATATTACCGATTGTCTTTCTGAGCAGCCATAGAAGAAGAGCAAGCTCGATGCTAAAGATCATACGCAACCAAGTTTTATCCATCAAGAATCCGTAAACAGTGATCCCAGCTTTGTTGTTCTCTAGATACGTCACTATACATATACAAAGACGAAAAGTTCAAAACAAAAATTACTCCAAATTCAACGTATGAATTTCTTTACCTAAAGCTTGACGTTTCTGGAAAGAAGAAATGTCTCGGACATAGATTGGATGAATCGTGGTATATTCAAGATCACTGTCTCCTTCTACTTCTTCTTCATCATCAGATGACTGAATAGCAATACGACGATGTGACAAAGTCCGGGAATGTTGTCTTGATGTTGGACATTTAGGAGCTTCTCCATCATCAAGATCATCATCAAACGTGTTTAAAGTGGCGCAAACGTTCCATTTTGTGGCAATGCTCGTCACAGAGTGAGCTTTGTGAGTCATCTGTGTTGCACTTTTCAAGCATATGAAAACCCCTGAGACCAAACTTATGGAGCATAACTGTTAAAAGAAAAAAAAAACAGAGCATAACTGTTAAAAAAAAAACAGAGACATTGATCAAGATTAAACATTTTTCACAGAAAATTCTTACCGCGAGCTCGCCGAGTTCGTAGATATCAAAGGGAACACTAGCTCTAGTGGTGGTGAGCAACGCCATAAACTGAGTGGCAGTGACGAAGACCAACGACAACAGAATGAATCGCCTGAAACGGTGGCTAACAACTTTTAGCTCACGGCGGATTCTCAAATGCTCGGCGAGCGTGGATCTAAAGTCAGTGATCTCAGAGGCGAAGCGGCGGGCGAAATCATCCAGACGGAGACTATGAAAGTGGCAGACGATTTGGTAGACGATACAGGCGATGATGAAGAGTGAATTACGGTAGAGCCAAGAAGAGAGCTGTAGCGTGCAGGCTACGACATGGCTCAGAGTTGGGCTGATGATGTAAGGGATGTTGTCTGAGCCTGAAGCATACCACCAGATGCGATAGATTGCTTGAAGCGTTAACGATGGGAGGACGAAGATAGCCAATAGCCTCGTTGATCTCTGCAACAAGAAACAGAGGAGATACATGGAAGAAAGAAACAGAGGAGAGAGGCCATTGGGCCGGGCCTGATAATGGCCCGATTAAGCCGAAAGGGATCATTCCAGTAATCATCACTAATCACCATTTAAACCAAAAAAAATTGGTTTACCTGGATTTCGGCTTCGTACCCGATCCTAACTTTTTCGCTGACGTCATTGAGCTTATTGAAGAACAGGAACTTTCGGATTCCGTATTTCCTAAACCAATCCGAGAGACTCAGAAACGAGATTCCGGCGAAGATCGACAGCGAAAGCTGAATTAAGGCGTCGTACGGACGGCGGAGTTTAAAATCGCAATCGGCACAGGTTAGCACGAAGTGGGAGGCTAATGGGACGATGACGGCGAGGAGGAAGAAGACGGACCACGAGATAAGAGTCTTAACGCGATTCGACTGATCGAACCAGAGAAGGAGCCTTGGGAACGAGAATTTGGTCGCTGGTGACTCCGGCGATTTGTGGATCGGGTCGGGTCGGTTCCCGGAGTTGTGGTATTTTGGAGATCGGAGGTCCGATGATCCTTCCATCGGAAGGGTAATGTCGGAAATTTCAGATAAGTATCAGGAAATTAAGAGGGAAAGCTAAGTAAAGTAACTTGAATTTTTAGATTTTGTAAGCACCTGTCGTCCTCGAGTATGAATTATTATTATTTAAAATTATTAAAAACGAAATAATATTTTATAAAATGTCGACCATATAATTTCTGTACTTGGGGAGGAGATATACATTTATTAAAATTTTATATTTTCGTTTTACATAAAGATGTACCAGATAAGGTGAAGTTTTCAACCATGAGTTTGAGTTTTTACAAACCAACACCCCGAATCCAGTACGCAATAACTTTTTGTTACAGAATTATTTTAGATGCTCAGAATTTAGTGATTCAGATACTGGTAATTATTGTATTTTTTTAATAAATCTGATGATATTAGTCAAAATTTTATATGTTCTTCTTGTATGTCACATGAATTATGAAAAGATCACAAAACCAAACTCATACATTCACCCCCAGGAGTCATCATTTAGACCAAACATATAAAAAGTATATCAGTTTTACTTTTACACAACCAATAAACATGAGCCGGATACAAATATATAACTCAAAAACGCAATAAAAACCAACATTGATATACGTATCTCTATAGACGATCAACAAAAAAACCTGTTATATCACCATAGCGGAAAGATTATCTCTGCAACTAACCTTGTCATGTGTTGTGAGAGAAACCAAGACACGATTTTGTTTTCATGTTATGTTCACTGTCAAAAACAGAAAACACGAAGATGACATTTTAGGTTAAGTCGAAGCATAGTGATGAGATGAGAATATATATATATATATATATATGTATTACCGATTGTCTTTTTGAGCAGCCATAGAAGAAGAGCAAGCTCGATGCTGAAGATCATACGCAACCAAGTTTTATCCACCAAGAATCCATAAACAGTGATCCCAGCTCTGTTGTTTTCTAGATATGTCACTATACATATACAATAAGAAAACGAGATAGTTAAGATCAAACAGAATTATCTCAAATTCATCGTATGAATCAAGATTTCTTTACCTAAAGCTTGACGTTTCTGAAAACATATGTCTCGTGCATAGATTGGATGTATTTTGTCAAGATCACTGTCTCCTCCTTCTTCTTCATCATCATCAGATGATTGAACAACATTACGACGACGCGACAAAATCTGTAAATGTTGTCTGGATGTTGGATATTTAGGAGTTTCTCCATCATCAAGATGATCATCAAACGTGTCTAAACTGGCGCAAACGTTCCATTTCGTGGCAATGCTCGTCACCGATTGAGCTTTGTGAGTCATCTGCGTTGCACTTCTCAAGCATATGAAAAGCCCTGACACCAAACTTACTGAGCATAACTGTTAAAACAAAAAGAACAGAGACACTGATCAAACATTAGGTTAAACATGTAAATGACAAGAACAAGATTAAAAAAATTCTTACCGCGAGCTCACCAACTTCATAGATATGAAAGGGAACACTAGCTCTAATGGTGGTAAGCAAGGCCATAAACTGAGTGGCAGTGACGAAGAACAATGACAATAAAAGGAATCGCCTGAAACGGTGACTAACAATCTTTAGCCCACGCCGGATTTTCAAATGCTCGGCGAGCGTGGAGCTGAAATCAGTGATCTCGGAGGCGAAGCAGCGGGCGAATTCGTCGAGACGGAGGATCTGAAGGTGGCAGATGATTTGGTAGACGATACAGGCGGTGATGAAGAGTGATGTACGGTAGAGCCAAGAAGAGAGCTGTAACGTGCAGGCTAAGACATGGCTCAGCGTTGGGTTGATAATGTAAGGGATTTGGTCTGAGCCTGAAGCATACCACCAGATGCGATAGACTGCTTGAAGCGTTAACGATGGGAGGACGAAGATAGCCAATAGCTTCGTTGATCTCTGCAACAAGAAACAGAGGAGATACATAGAAGAAAGATAAGTAAAGCTGAAGTTTTGTTACAATAATATGTTCTAAGAAAATTCTAAATCTCATAGAAATATTTGTAATTTTCATAAAAATCATTCAAAAACTTTTGTTTTCTCAGTTGAAACATTTTTTACAGCCTTGTGAATAATTTGACAAATAAACTTTTTTATAGTCTTATAAGTAAGTTGACAAATAAACCTTTTTAATAGCCCTAAAATGTTTTGCAATTGTGATATCTGCATTTTAAAACTTTAGTATTTATGATTTGTTGTTCTTAGTAAATTTAATTAGTGATATTTTGTCTACTATCCTAAGTCCTAACAAACAATATCAATTTTGGTTTGAAATTAACCGCACTATGTTCAAAAGCTCAAGTTCAGACCATTTCACTAATCACCAATTAAATTTCCAAAAAATTGACGATTATAAAGTTGAAATCATGAAATCGGATACTAAACACTAAAAATTAGCGGAGGCGTTATTCACCTGGATTTCGGCTTCGTACCCGATCCTGACTTTGTCGCTGACGTCTTTAAGCTTATCGAGGAACAAGAACTTTCGGATTCCGTATTTCCTAAACCAATCCGAGAGACTCAGAAACGAGATTCCGGCGAATATCGATAGCGAGAGCTGCACCAAGGCGTCGTATGGACGGTTGAGTTTGAATTCACAATCGGTGCAGGTTAGCACGAAGTGGGAGATCAATGGGACGATGACGGCGAGGAGGAAGAAGACGGACCACGAGATAAGAGTCTTAACGCGATTCGACTGATCTAACCAGAGAAGGAGTCTCGGGAACGAGAATTTGGTCGCTGGCGACTCCGGCGGTTTGTGGATCGGGCCGGGTCGGTTGTTCCCGGAGTTGAGGTATTTTGGAGATCGGAGGTCCGATGAATCTTCCATCGTAAGGGTAATTTCGGAAAAACAAATTAGATAAGTCAAATCACAATCAGAAATTAAGGGGGGAAGCTAAATAAGCAAAGTAACTTATATTTTTTATATAGTTATATAAGCCACCTGTCGTCCGCTACTATGAATTTTTATTAAAAAAACTAAATTATAAATTTCCGGAATTTAAATTTTATTAAATATAGCAATTTTTAAAAAAGAAACCGCTTATGATATTAAAATATGAAAATAGTATAGATTTGTTACTATTTAAAGATATAGAGAAAAAACAGAATTGGTATTTTATACATAATATACAGATAATATCATAGTACTTTTTTTTGATATGGTTAGATTATTAATATTGATTGACAATATGTTTATACAGCCCAATTTCTCTTAAAATATTTGGGTTTAGTAATTTAAAAAAAAATGAAATAGTCCTTCGTTTATACGTACTATGGTAGACAACCAAAAAAATGTGAAACATCAAACAGTTGTAGAAGTGGTGGAGCCACATAGAGTCAAAAACAGCTTAGATTATAAATTTGTGATTGATTTATAAAGGTATTGTAGGAATCTAACTTTTTGTATTGACATTTCATTATAGACAAAACACGTCTCCTTCCGTTTTCATTTTATAAATAAAAACCCCAGCACATGGAATATTTTAATTTAAGAAACTCTGATGATTTTTAAATATTTACGACGGGAATTTGTGATTTAAATATGCCTGTCACTGTGTATTCGCTGGCGCCCAATTCGGTCGGCGAAAGAAATCGGAGACAAAGAAAGCATAGTGATTGATTTCGATCGAGTATAAATTGTTAATAATAACTAGGTATATAATTCATGTTACGCGCGAGTCTGTATTAATATTTTGATTTAATTTTTTTAGCTACTGTCTTTAAATTATTAAAAATATAATATATTTATAGAAATTATTATTTATTTGGGAGAATTTAATATATAATATATAATTTATCCTATTTTTATTTATAATTTTTAAAAAAACTATTAAGTAATATAATAACAATGACATTTATCGAATTATCCAACTTTGACGTATATATACATTTGATTTAGAGAAATATAATTTTGCTAAGATTTTGGTATTATTTTATGTTTTCCATAGAATTTCTATAGTTCTTTTTTTTTGAAGGTTTTTTTTTTAACACTAATTTATTAATCTATTACAAATTATGAGAACTGTTACATCGACGATTCTATAACGGTCAATTCTACCGTCTTATGAAGATCAACGACTAACGGCTCTACCTACACCCTGCACCACGCTTACCATCATCATATCAAGATCTACGCCTGACGATTCTGCTTGCACCACGCTGAAGATCTCTTGTAAGTTTGCCTCCATTAATTTGCATCATTCTTCATTAATCTGCATAATTAAGAATAAATCGCGCTCGCTGGAATTTGAAACCCAGACCTCCTGGTGTATAAGCATTAATAAACCCTTATTAAACCATTGGGCTAAGGGGGTTTCTACTCTTGAAGGTTTATGTGTTCAAATATTTATGTTTTTTTTATTGAAAATCCTATTGATGTTGTGTACCACTGCATATATAATTCATGATTCATGTTGATTCGTATTTAATTTTGTTAGGTAGCTGTAATGATCATGCAAAACCATTTTTCCTTCTCCATAATGTCTTCCAAGAGTTTTATGTTATATTTTTATTCAGTTTTCATTATTTTAATTATTAAATAGAGTTGTTGTAGATTTTTTTAAATTGATAATGGTTACTTTTTTTAAAAACATGTATTGTTAATTGTTAATTTTTTTATTTAACTTTTAAAATTTTAAACCATATTAACATTTTATGATTTAATAAATATGTTGATTCGGATCAATCAGATTGAATTTACTTTTTTTGTTGGACATAATTTGTTAAATTAAATTTTAATGTTTTAATTATAAATATATAATACTGCAAAAATATGAATAAAACAAGTTCATTGTTGAACTAGGTATATAAAATTTCTATAAGGATTAAAACATTAATCTTTATTTACCTAAGGATTCTGTTTTGACTAGGTATATAACACGTACTATGCACGAGTCTGTATTAATATTTTGGTTTAATTTTTTTAGCTACTACCTTTAAAATTATTAAAAATATAATATATCTATAAAAAATTTCATTTATATAAGATAATTTATTATATAATTTGTCATTTATCCTATTTTTATTTATAAATGTTTTAAAAAATATTAGGTAAATTAATAACAATGACACTTATCGAACTATCCAACTTTGACATACATATACATTTGATTTAGAGAAATATTTTCTGGCTAAGATTTTGGTATAATTTTCTGTTTTCCATACAATTTCTATAGTTCTTTTTTTTCTTGAAGGTTTATGTGTTTAAGTATTTAGTTTTTATTAAAAGTCTTATTGATGTTGTGTACCACTGCATATATAATTCATGATTCATGCTGATTCGCATTTGGTTATGTTAGGAAGCTGTAATAACCATGCAAAACTATTTTTTCCGTCTCCACCATGTCTTCTAAGAGTTTTATGTTATATTTTTATTCAATTTTCATTGTTTTAATTGTTAAATCGAGTTGTTGTTAATTTTTTTAAATTGATAATTGATAATGATTACTTTTTTATACATGTAATTTTTAATTGTTAATTTTTTATTTAACTTTTAAAATTTTAAACCATATTAACATTTTCTGATTTAATAAATATATTGATTTGGATCAATCAGACTGAATTTACTTTTTTTGTTGGACATAATTTGTTAAATTAACTTTTCATGTTTTAATTATACTTAACAATTTCTGGTTTGATTAAAAAGCTGATGTGGACCAATCATATCGAGTTTTTTAATCATATGTGGACGTCATGTCTTCACTATGCCATCAACTTTAGTATATTACTAGGCATATAATTCGCACGTATCAATAATTACTAACTTAAGTTAATAATAAAGTTAATAATTTACACATTAAATATAAATTTTTTTTTGGATAAAATATGTTTTATTTTGGATACTAGTATTTTGATATTATTTTGGATATACTAGTAATATAAGTTAATAATTTCTGATGGCATTATTAACTTATTAACTTTATTAGGTATATAACATGATTAACATGTTAATAGTGTATTATTTTGGATACTATATACTATATACTAAACTATTAACTGTTTTATTTTGGATACTATATACTTAGGTATATAAAAAAAATACTGTATTATTAACGCATGTTAATAATTATTATCTTTTAATCATTTATATACTTTAGCTTGTCACCTAGGTAGATAACCAAAAAAATTGTTAATCTATTTATCTCTTTTATATAAAAGGGATAGATTTCTAGGCTTCTAAGGGCTGTCACATCAGCAAAAATAATTAACCAATGATAGATTCCAAAACTGCTATGTCATCTTCTCCAACCAATAATTTAAAGCCATCTTATTAAATAATTTATTAATCAAAATGTTTTAAGTTTTACCTACAAAAAAACTTTTATAATTCTTAAATTCTCAACAAAAAAAACAAAGCTAAAAAAAAACTGAAAACGAATTACACTAAAACTCAATTATAAAGTTTAAACAAAAGTTTATTTTATGAAGTCACTGTCTTCTCGGTTTCCAATTATCTCGCCTCTGACTCACCATAAACGGAATCAGCCGTCACTAAACACAAATTTTACTTTTTAATAGATTTCTAGGCTTTTAAGGGCTGCCACATCAGCAAAAATAATTAACCAATGGTAGATTCCAAAACTGCAATATCATCTTCTTCAACCAATAATTTAAAGTCATTTCATTAAATAATTTATTAATTAAAATTTCTTTAAATTTTACCTTAAAAAAAAACTTTTATAATTCTTAAATTCTCAACAAAATAAAAAAAACAAAGCTAAAAAAAACTGAAACAAATTACACTAAAACTCAATTATAAAGCTTAAACAAAAGCTTATTTTATGGAATCACCGTCTTCTCGGTTTCCAATCATCTCTCCTCTGACTCTCCAGAAACGGAATCAGCCGTCACTAAACACAAATTTTACTTTTTAATTAATGACAACCAAACTGATAATAAAGAATAAAACTTAAATAAGTGGAGCATAAACATTTGGAAATCCAAAAGACATAGCAATGAGGATGTAAAAAAAAAAGACATAGCGATAAGCCACATATGGTATAAATAATACACAACTCTATCACAAATGAAGTCTAATGTGTCTCATGCTTGAGATTGTTGTAAGCAACATAAAAATACAATCTCACAACTGTTTTGCATTTATATTTATAATGTGAATCGAGTAGAATGAGTCTCAATCATAGTATTGTTGGAACTGGAGAACGTCTTTCTCGCCAAAAATAAAACTTAAGGAGTGACTGGGTTTTCTTTCTTCTAGAGAAAATTAATTTATACAATTGTAACTTTTTGACTTATAACAGATTTCAAGTTTTTAAAGCTGATATAAACTTCCATATTGTTCATTGTAATGCGATATTGTAGAAAAACTGAAGTAAAAACCTAAATAAAGAACCGGTGATTAAAGACAGTTACTCACTATTTCTTAATTTTCATTTGCAAAAGTTCATGAAACATAAAACTGAAAAGATTTTTTTTTTCAAATAACATATAACGATAAATTCCACACTCTTCACCAATATTGGCAAATGATTGAGCTAGCTAAACTATCAAACAAATATTATATCAATTATCAAAGAACTCATATAATAAAGAAGTTTATTATTAATTGCCATTTGTTTTCTTCGTTGAATATATGAACTAATTATAAAACATTTATGTACACATTGAATCAAAAAATTGATAAATAGAGAAATCCATACCATATGAAAATTAAAAACAAAATCCCAAGGTACAATATGAAACAATATGGAGTAAGAATTGAGTTTTTCTTTTTAAAAGCATCAAGCGAAATGGAAGCTTATGCAAAAAGTTTTTGAAAGTATAAAAAAAATACTCATGGTGTTTCACTAAAAAAATAGCATTATAACATAAGATGTCCAAATTTAGACAATCGACTTCTAATATAATATATAGTTCATGTGGATATTATTTACATAAACAAAAAATATAACAAAAATATACATCAAATTATTATACAAAAAGGTCAAACTTTACCCTTCATATTTGCAAAAACATGCATTAACTCTTAAAAAAAAGTTTAACTAAGCCAAAAGATACATAAATCTACTTTCAAATTATTATACAAATCACATATATATACATCCTTCTGATATTTAATTCGCTCGACCATATCTAAGAATCACATGCAAATATACTACTATATAATTTATCACAATATTAAACACAAAATTAATTGACAACCTTTTTCTAAAACTACAATATAATTATATAATCCACGCGTAGCGTGGACAAAATACTAGTTACTAATAAAAGTTGATGCTAAATGCGTCTAAGGGTGTCCACATAGGATTAAAAATTTCGATATGATTGGTCCACATCATTATTTTTTATTAAATAAAAAATGTTAAATATGATTAAAAGCTTAATTTCGTTTTAATCATAAAAAATAAATAAAAAAACTTAAGTAACATATAGAGAAAAAATTATGTTAAAAAACC